AAAAAAAAGCTGGCCAACTCTAGGTTTTGGTGCGTCCAAGCATCTTAAATATGGACATCAAATATTGTTGAAAATGCTCCCAAAATTGTCAGTTAATTGGTTGTCAACTGCTGTTCTCAAAATATTACAAGCATTTGTTGATAAATAATTACTCATTTAACTCTTTACAAGCATTTGTTGATAAATAATTACTCATTTAACTATTTAAGAGAGAATTAAATTAACACAACTATACACAACAGAATTTAGTAAATCGGATTTGTACATTACTCGTTGCCATAAAGTAAACTATAATGAAGAAAAATACACTTGTTATACTTATATGAGATTGAAAAGAATATATATTCTACAAAATGACACTTAATTCTAAAGCACATGCTGATTATATTTTCCGCAGTCATGTTGTTACTTTCGTTAAGAGCATAAAAAAAAATCGTGCAATCAAGTGGAAAACTGCACAAAACTTATTTTCATGTTGTTGCTCGAAATCATTATTTCTTACCTTAAAATTTCAATCCTTCTTTTAAAAACTATGATCGCAGCACCTAACAGTTAGTCTGGACGATTTCGCTGTAGTTTCTAAGTTATTTTATGCATTAAAGTATTGTTAAATTTTTGTAAGCAAATTAGCAACCACCAGCACCCCGCGCCTCTTCTACTCCTGACCCCGGCCAAACATAACCAGAAAAATTAAAAAAAGAAAAAGAACAAAAATATGCAGGTAAAAAAGAATAATAAAAATGTTTACAGGTAAAAATGGTCGATGACTTTCGTAATATTATTATGGATATGCAAATTGTCTTGACCCGAATTGAATCACACATTCTTCACGTACTTCTACGAGCTCGGAGCTCCAACAACATGCATGGCGCCGAGAAGGGTCCAAGCATAGAAACTCCGACTCTCAAGTTTGTATATGCTTGAGGGGAGTAACAAAATCAGGTCGAGCATCAGGTCGAGACGCACCCAGTCCCACCAAAAAGGGGGAAAAGTCTCGAAGAAGACGAAGGGGGAAGGCAAAGAGAAAAAGGTCGCTTGTTCCCCTCCTACACTTGAGAAACCTAGCAGGGGTGGAGCTAGGATTTTAAAATACCTGGGGCTAACAAAATTGCGATCTCCGATTCTTTTTAGATTCAAACTTGGCGATTATAGTATCATTACTAATCTTTTCGACCAACTCTCTTTCAATGTAAATAACCATTGAATCCGCCAAAAACTCCTCTTCCATCTTATTACGAAGAACTGTGTTAACATAACAAGTTTCATAGTCGAAAACGCTCGCTCTATAATTGTCGTAGACACAAGAAGAGTCATAACAGACGAATTAACCTATCAAAAAATTAAATAAATTAAATAGAATGATTATACTATAATTTAACTACCAAAAATGACTTGAGATAATTTCATTGTACCAGTCAATCAAGTTGTAGATTTTTGACTTATTTGTTTCAACGAATCTTCGACATAATTCAGACATAGTCGGTAAGTCGTAAATCTCTCATTAGTAATGACGTCAAGCTCATAGTGGTTCAATTGCAATCTCAAATAGAGAAAATTTTGAGCATCAAAATAAAGAGGATAGATATATATGATCCGCATTAAACAATTTAAAGCCTTCTTTCAATTTCAAAGCACAACTAAGCTTAAGAAGTTCAACCGCTTCATCCTTACATCTACCATTTATCTCTTTAATTTGAAAATCTATTGCGGAGTTAAATACATCAAAATGATAATGATGCTCCTGTGATTGAATAATTTTGCTGACATGAACGACGTGTAGCAGATTTATAGCGAGCATCCATTTGAGGCACCTCAATATACTTGACACAAACTTCCTCCAGATTTTGAACGTGGGCACCAAAACCTTCTTCTCTCAACGTTAGAAGTAACGTTTTAGCAGTACAAATAATGATTGTAGTTGCTTTTTAAGAGATGTGTATTTGTATTTAATAAATTAAATATTAGTTATTACTTTAAATATAAGTATAGGATGGATATTAGTGTATTACGGGTTTGCCACTAAAAATATGTCAAAGTAAGAGTTTTTAGGTAGTTAATTTTTTTTCACAAATCCACTCGTCTTTTTATAGTATATATAAGTCAGTACTCGAACTCATCTCAGTTATCCATATTAATGAAGTCGAACTCGAGCTTTATGAGCAGAAATATAAAGATCCTCTTTTTTGACCAGACTCGTTTACGTTAACTAAACTGCTCATTTAACAAATGAGTTGGGCTCACGATCGAATCGTTTAGTTTATCATTTCTAACTCGCTGTCAATTCGTCACATGCTAGTTGTATCCATAATCTAGAGTCTAAATGGTTGTGTCCACAACAAATTCGACCCTAAGGGTACCTGATTTTATGCCGTTGAATTACATAAACTCACACACACATCCATTTAGTTTTGTATTCGACCCTAATCAAGACAACATTATCTCAAATTTCGTTATAGCTGCTTAAAATCCTTGCCAAATTTCGTTATAGCGATTGCACTTCTTAGAATCCTTGTCGTCCACCTATTCAACTATTTTTACTTCCCTTTTCATCATTTATTACCAATGAAAATGTACAACGTACAAAATATAGTCTGTGATCTATATTGAACCTAACTCGTGATACTATTGCTTCTGAAAAATATGCATCCTTAGACGTTAGTGGTTGAGCCTTGTTGGGTCAAAGTCAATCTGCTTAAGTAATGGTTCCCATTCGCTAAAAGGTCCAACTGATACTAACAAAATTTTGAAGTAACGATAAATCCAAATGAATTGAATATATGTAAAGTATAGAGGCTTAGCACATGAACAGTAGCAAAAATTCAAGTAAATGAGTGACATCCATCCAAAAGATTAGGAAAGATTACTTTCAATCTAGCATGGTTTTTTGAATTGGTTTTTCTATTTTTTTTTCTTTTGTCTTTCAACACCTCAACTAGATCTGTTTAACAGAAAAAAAATCCATCACGAACATTCGAATGAAGCTTTAGAAATTTGTTGTTGACATCTGTAGCTGGAGAATCTGAAAAGTAAATATGCGTAAGTCTAGTAGCACATTGAGCATATAATGCAGGTGGTACTGCACGAAAAATACAAACCAATTGAAAGAGCAGAATACATGATGATAAGCATATAAATTTAATTATATTTGTGGACGTTTGACTAACCTACTGAAACTGAGTTCGTACGCGTCGTTTACCTGCAGAAAGAGAAATATCATACATTTTAAAGGAGTAATAACACTAAAAAGAAAATATCATATCTAGCTAGCATAAGAAAATTACATGTGGCACAAGCTATATGTGAGTGTCTGACTGTCATCCGCTGCAAAGTTGTTTTCATCACAAATTAGCTAGCATAAGAAAATTACGTGTGGCACAAGCTATATGTGAGTGTCTGACTGTCATCCGCTGCAAAGTTGTTTTCATCACAAATTACATGGTAGCGTGAATGGCAATTCGTGATCACAACCAGATTATATTACTCACACCTACCTTCATGTATTTAACAATGCTAATCATCTCAATTAATGAATTTACCTCACAAGCAATGTACAAATAAAACTCGAAACTCTCTTTCTTGCAGATCTGCCTGATGACAAAATAACAACATTTTTATATACCGATGAAACCAAACATATCGAAATGTCTGGAGCCATTCAAATCAAAGGTCATATTCGAACCGAACATTTTTGTACTCACAGGTTGTGGCTTCCATGGGTTGACCACAAATGTGAAGATACAAGGCCAAGATCTGTGCCCATGTGTTTGGAGGTCGTACTACCTATTTTGAAGATCTTGAAAAAAGCATTCGGTTAGTATGTCGGGTTGTTTTTTTCCATCTCTTCTATTCATATACTCAATTCTTGTAAAATGGTTCGTAAGTCGAGTTTGAAAATTACCTATACGAACCATTTTATTGAGTATATCAATATAAAAGANAATAGAAGAGATGGAAAAAAACAACCCGACATACTAACCGAATGCTTTTTTCAAGATCTTCAAAATAGGTAGTACGACCTCCAAACACATGGGCACAGATCTTGCCTTGTATCTTCACATTTGTGGTCAATCCATGGAAGCCACAACCTGTGAGTACAAAAATATTCGGTTCGAATATGACCTTTGATTTGAATGGCTTCAGACATTTCAATATGTTGGGTTTCCTCGATATACAAAAATGTTGTTATTTTGTCATCAGACAGATCTGCAAGAAAGAGAGCATGTAGTTTTATTTGTACATTCCTTTGCGAGGTAAATTCATTAATTGAGATGATTAGCAATGTTAAATATACATGAAGGTGGGTGTAAGTAATATAATCTGGTTATGTTGTGTTCACGGACTGATCACGAATTGCCCTTCACGCTACCATGTAATTTGTGATAAAAACAACTTTGCAGCGGATGGCATTCAGACACTCACGTATAGCTTGTGCCACACGTAATTTCCTTATGCTGACTAGATATGCTACTTTCTTTTGTGTTATTATTACTCCTTTAAAATATATGGTATTTCTCTTGTTGCAGGTACACGGCGCGTATGAACTCAGTTTCTGTAGGTTAGTCAAACGTCCACAAATAAAATTAAATTTATATCATGTATTCTGCTCTTGTAATTGATTTATATTTTTCGTGCAGTACCACCTGCATTATATGCTCAACGTGCTACGGGGCATATTTACTTTTTAGATTCTCCAGCTACAAAGGTCAACAGCAAATTTCTAAAGCTTCATTCGAATGTTTGTGATGGATGTTTTTCTGTTAAACAGATCTAGTTGAGGTGTTGAAAGACAAAAGAAAAAAAAAATAGAAAAACCAATTCAAAAACCATGCTAGATTGGAAGTCATCTTTTACTGATCTTTTGGATGGATGTGGCCATTTACTTGAATTTTCTACCGTTCATGTGCTATGTCTCTACTTTACATATATTCAGTTACTTCAAAATTTTGTTAGGAATCAGTTAGACCTTTTACCGAATGGAAAACATTACTTCAGCAGATTGACTTTGATCCAACATGGCTCAACCACTAACATTTGAGGATGAATATTTTTCAGAAACAATAGTATCACGAGTTAGGTTCAATATAGAAAACAAATAACTTGTGTTATTTGTTGAAACTTGAAATTATTATGTGATAATTAGAAAACTATCCCTGACATTTAGTTTTTCCCAAAACATATCTTGCTTAACTTATAAAAGACACTATTTTATGTTATTATTTATTAAGTCTTATAATCTACAAAAACTACTATTGAGGTTTGGCTGAACTATAAAAGTGTTAGCTATTGTCAAACGGGATTTTGTAATGACTACGCTGGAATTTTGTGCATTTATTATATATATTTAGCGTAAATTTAGGTAGCACATTAATTGGAATTGGATAGGAATCAGAATAAAATCTGTCCATTTATTGTGTATATTATTTTCATTATACGGATATGAAAAGGATTTAGAATCATTCTACAATAATAGCTATGATTGTATTTCTAATATTTATAGTCTAATTATTTTCAATGAAAATAAGAAAAAAACAGAATTTCTGACGGTTGGATGGATTTTGGCCAAAATGTGAAGGAAAACCAAGCATCAAAGGTATCTCCTAATTTTCCAATTTAGCTGGGTTTATAAAAGTTTTTGTAACTAACCCCCTTATATTATTGAAGCTGCATGGAGGAAGGGGCCAATGCCCCTCCTCTCGACTAAGCCAAAGAAGCACAGGTAATTAATTAATTAATTAATTGGAGGCAAACTTGTACAAAAAAAGCAGGGTTCAGTTTTATTTGAATTGCAAGTGCCAGCTTCTGATTTGACCCTCAATGCTTTAATAATCTTACAAACTATGTTATAGCCAATTCCTTTTTGCAGGTAATATATAGTATAAAACTTCATAGCAGAAAAAATATTCAAATGTGGAAACAAAGAGTATGTTCCAGGAGAAAATTTACGGGTTGGAGCAGTATGTACAGCAATATATATACTCTACAAATTGATATATCAACATATTGGAATTTGTAAATACAGCAATATAAAATCAAATTGAAATGTCACTGTAGTAAAAATTTGATCATACGGCATTTGGTAACAATCAGAATATTTCTTTTTCCACAGGTCAAGGGGTTGTGTTTGTAGACAGTTAAAAAATCTGCTATGGACGAGCCGTCACCTTCACAAGAAGGCGCATTTCTTTTTTCTCCAATTTTTAACCATAGACATGTCTTTGGCTCCTAAACTCCCAATATGTCGTTTTTCTCGTAAGTAGTTTTGCCATTATCATTTTTGTTTTACTTTGAGCAAATTGTCATAAACCACCTAACCAAGAATATTATTTGCACTTCGCTATAAGATTTTCTTCTTTGCAAGAATTTGCTGCACTTAACACCATGAATCGCATCTTACTTCACTTTGCTCGTCATCAAAGTTCATAGAATCTGTTGTATTACAATAAATCCCCAGATTTATATAAGCCTTGCCCCACTATAACCTTCTTTTTGTAGCACTTTAACCCTCACACTATGTATTTGTATCCACTTTTCCCCTGAGCCATATGCTTCTCCATGGAAGGGGCATCATCAGTTCTTCATTTGTCTAATAGGCAACGAGGAATTGAATGCATAGTTCAGAGGGGCGAAGTGCCAAAACAAAGACACTTCAACTAGCAAAGTGCTAAAAAAAACCCATTGTTCAGGGGGTTTTGCATATTTTTACTATTTTTACTATTTTAAATGTGTGGCAGGAGCTTTTTATTCTATGTTATCTTTCTATTCTTTTTAATTTCTTCTTTTCCTACTTACTGTTTCTACTCCGGGACTTCAAGACCCACACATACACACATTTGTCCACCATTCACCTCCCTTCCCCCACCATCTTCATTTTTTGACAAGGTAGAGTAGGTAAGTTTTTTGGTAGCTAAAATGCTGAACGTTGGTGATTGGTACTTCATGAGACATGAGATGTGTGTTTGACCAATACTCCACACACTAGAGTCAATAGAGTTCAATGCAAGTAAAACCATAGTTGTGCTTGAGCTTCTTGATACATATATGTAGCTATATTGAGTTTGTACTTTTCATAGCAGACTATTCCTGTAATCTTCTTGGCCATACAAAAATAAACCTAATTTTACATCTTGAACGATGCATCAATTGAATTGTGTGTGATAAAGTACGAGGAATGATGTACTAACCAAAGGCATTAGAACGTCAAGCCTTTCCTGATATGGCTAATGATGATGATGATGGTAATTTATCATACATTTATCCTTTTCTGGTTCAAATGAGTATTGTATACATATCTTAATAATGCTAATTTTTTAAAATATAAATAAATAAATAAACAGATCTTATGGAAGGCTATAAGGCCATCAGAGTGAACGAGGATTAGATGAGGGGCGAAAGGCCACTTTGGAGACAACGCCAAGTGCTTTCAAATATGAAGTTCACGTATTTTGAGTCTCATCAATAATACGACATTAAAAAATGATCGATACGACCCACGTGTTAATGATATATTGAGACTTATGACCATGTAAGGAATGATAGAAACGTTATCCGGCTGCTTCTTTTTATTGATCTATGTTTTCTTTTTTTCTAAACAGGTACCCATCTCTTAAAGTTGCTTCGATCGATGACATACAAAAGGTTAGGAACTTACCTGTGGTGGAGGCAGCACTCGAGCCTTTACAAGGCTTTTAGCATGTTCCTTGTTGATCGTTATCCCATATCGATCTAAGGAACTCTGGTCATAATAAATCTTCAATATCTACACATAAAACAATAAAATAAAAATAAAAAATGTCATAGCTCTAAAATTCACATATGGAAAATTTATACTTGAAATTATCTATATAACATTAAGGATTACATAATTTCTAACCTCTTTTATATGTTTCTTCTTGAATCCAGTTATTGAAAGTAACCCTAGCTGATTCCTGGACAATTGTCCATCCAAAATGTTGCAGCACTGTGGACATGAGCAAAGCATATTATTACTTCATAAATTTCTTGTTTCAAAGCAAATAAATAAAAAAAATATAAATGTTTGGAGTACAAGGTACCTCAAGTAGAAAATAATACTTTTTTTCTGTACCAAGTTGAACAACCGGCATATGTGGATACTCAAGGTCACGGCTAACATTATAAGTGATGTAAAGATAATCTTGTAAGTTCACACCACCTTCAATATCTTGAACACCCCATTTCGTAATCCTAGTGATTTGAAAAGAAAATTTTAATAACTTCTACATATAAGAGAAGAATTATTTTTAAACAAATTACCTGGTTTCACTCGTTGACGTTGTTAAAACTTAAAATGTTGGATACATGGCTTTCTCTTGGCGGATCAGTATTTGTTAGAACCTTAACACCTTGAAGGGCCGTTCTCACCTGAAATGATGGGCTGTTGTCATGCTACCTAATGAAAATTAAAATAAAACATTTATAAAAGTAAAGCACCTAAAATGAACACACAAAAAATATATTGAAATCATCAATTCTAAACATCCTATATAGAGGCATCTAATCTTTATAAATTAATTTTGAAAAAACAACATTGATATTCGATGTGCTAACTAATGGTCCCACTACAAAGTTACAAATGACTAACCCTAAAACAATAAATAAAAAATGAAATGAAAAAGTTTAAAAGTTTAATGGCGACAAGTAATGCCGCATTATATATATACATACACGTGACTTGTTTTCCAGGTAAATATACATGACCCGACCACCTTGTACAAAATATCAGCGTTTTAGTTTTCCATTTCCCTGGTATTTCAAAAATTGCATCAAACCCCTTGTATATGGCTTATGGTAGCACAATTCCCGGCAATGGGAGGGCAGGGGTGGGGTGTGGGAGCAATGGGCCAGGTTCGGATACTGAACTACCCGACCCGACCTACCTCATTGCCATCCCTACTAATTCACAATGTTATTAATGTACCGATGTTGAAAAAGTACATGTCAAATCCAAGTCATGTTATACGACCCTTTGTTTATCAGCTTCAGTGTAGCGTAACACCGAATAACATATGAACCGTGATATCAAAAGACACATATATGATGTCAATGTTTTCAGCAGTCACTTAGTCTTACCAATTTATCCGGACAGAGTCAAATGTCTGCGTCATCGATTCCAGCAGCAATTATGGCCATCTGGAGTCCCAGGTGGGTAACCAATTCTGAGAAGAGCTTCTCTATTTTTCATTTCTGAGCACACGTACGGCCCAATTCAATGTGTTGGGTCGTATACAATCATACCTTGATTTTGTGAAATTGGACAGTAAAAAAATTAGATGCAACATTTTTCTTCTTTAACATCCAAGGAAATGAGCATCGATATACTTATTTGTTCAAGAGAGGTGATTATTTCTACTTACCATGTCCACATTTTCCCAATCTTCTCAATTCCAGAGAATCTCACTAAATAAATCAATCAATCCAATTTTCATAGGTTTATGAAAATGGATAAAGATCTATAAGAAATTAGGGCCCATCAGAAATCACAAAAAAAAAAGGAACAAAAGTGTACCCACAGAGGCAGAGACATTAAAAAAAAAATAAATAAATCCTTTATACATGTTATAAACACAGGCACAAATAGACGGGTGAAATATAGGGTTTAAACATGGAGTGAGCAAATTCAGCAAAATCAAATGAAAAAATGGAGGGTAGCTCGAATGACTGTTGTTTTGATAACAAAACGCGATAAATCATTCAGGACCACCACCAACCCCTTCGGTGAGCCCATGAAAAAAAAAAATAGGTGTAGAAAACTTTGCCTGAAATTGTTGTCCGCGATTAGCCACTCAAAGTTTGATGATCCTTCTAGATCCCCACTGTATTTGTGTCCAACTTAAGCCCGTCTCCTCGAACAGTCGACCGCCTCCTAATTGAGGCACGACCAACCGCTCGCCTAGTAGATCTGTCGGTCACCATAATAAAGATAGAGATCAAAAACTAAACAAAATATCACAAAAAATTAAAATATTGAATTAGTAGCACAAATGAGGCAATTATACAACTCAATGAATCGATGTTGGTCGAGGCCGCATTTGTGTTCACCATGATCCTGTCGTCTATTCCTACGGCGGCCGATGTGCCTTTTTTTTCGAGATCCAGCAGACAACGTTGTGAATCGTTCCTATGAATAATCAAGCCTTGATTTTCAAGTTTGCACCATGTGATGCGAGGACGCATCTTTCAAGATTGATGGTAGGGGTTTGTTGAAATGAAATTGTGATCCGGCGAGAAGAAAAATAAAATATCTGATCTGCACATCCCAACACAGAGAAAAGATCAAAAGATGCATAAACCAAAACGATGTCGTTTTGTGATTGTCGACGTGGCCTCTTAGAAATGAGGCACCACGTGTCAATAAAGGAGGCTATGACTTCGTTTTTATAGATAAGAGAACTAGTTTGTTTTGCACAGCCGGGCCCAATTTGTGGTTAAAAAAATATCTTCATTACCCAAAAAATTGTCTTAATTACCAAAAATATCAGTACTATATAATTTGTAAATCTTCGGATTGAATTGTATGAAAGTCAATATAAACTTACCTATTTAATGCATGTAAGATTATGTGTTGCACAATTACATTAGCTATAAAAATATGATTTAGAAGAAGATGCCATTAAGATTGAGGGCGCTTTCCTATCAGAGAGCATATTTTTTTGTCCCAATTCACATATAAGTAATATACAAAACAATGTTAATAATAAATTATTATCATTATTATTGTGTAACCAAATTAGGTAGTAAATTGATCAACTGACGTGTACAGTAGTGTGCGAATTACAGGTTAATTAGGTTCCATCATCTTTAATATCAATTTCAAGGAGGTAATTCTACTTCACTGGTTTGTTTCTGAAACACATTTTGCACAAACGCAAACACAGAAACACAAAAGTTCACTACAAGTTAATTAGGTTCCTTTAACCATTAAGTTTTAATATTATATCTGCAATTTTTCAGCCTTTAAAATAAGTACACCCAGAGTTCCAAAATAAGCCTGGCAAAAGATGACATAGAGTCGAACAAAAGAAAATGTACAAATGGTCTGTTGTAGCCGGTTAATTGCAAATACTTACGGTAGCAACATAACAGCCACATAAGACAACACACGGTGTTTAGGCATTTCTGCGTGGTTTTTGAAATGGCTTGACTGGATTGTCTTTTTTTTGGTACATGCTTGGAGATGATGCACTGGGAATATCCGTTTGTGGCTGAGGTAGTACAAAGCATGTGCTGTTGCGAGAGCGTTGTAAGCCTGTTGAATGGTAGGGTTCAATTGTGCTGGACATATGAACCTCCTTTTGTGCCTGCATAATTAGAAAAAATTGAAATTAAAAAGTTATGCAACATATATATGTTATTTTTTTTAGTTATGAAATAAATGGATGGCAATAATGGGACCTGATTATCCATTTGAGGATGGTTGGTGCGGAATTGATTTTTTGCAACATGCTTTTTTTCTTCCGCATCTTCTGCAATTAGTTCGATACCACTGCCAGTACTTGGGTTGTTCATGTAATTCTTTACATCAAGTGTTTGCAAATCAATTTGTTCCTCATCTATGTATAGCTTGAAGACTGAGTAAACTGGCACAGGGCATTGGAATTTCTGTATAAAACACACAACACTTTTTCCATAGATGTAAGAGCGGATCTTCTCAATGAAGTCTGTCCCCTAAAGAAAACAGCTTTGATGGTTAGAAAATATGGAATCTGTATATGTTTTTTTCCATACATTAACTTCACATGAACTGAACTTTTCGTGTAAAGTAGTAATTTTTATGGATAGAATGATGTCTGGTGAATTTACTGGGTAAATGAATACCTTGCGAAAAATGCAAACATAAGCATGTTGTAATTAAGTATTGTAGAAATTGCAACAAATTGTATTTTTTGTAGCAGGTTGTGTAACCTTTGTATTTCTTAAGCGGAGCTGTTCAACTTTGCCACTGATGAGTGCTTCTGCATCATTTCCGGAGACAATTGTTGATATTGCTCCAGTGACATCAGTTATGTCGAGAGGAATTTGCAATCTGTTGTCAATTTAATTTTAACTAAAAAATACGAACAAAAAGAATTAATAACAGGAATAGCTGCAACAAACATTTGTATTTAAATAAAACCTTGTTTGAACCAACCCATCATGGTTACAATAGATGCAAGTAGTTTCTGTTCTCGGTAGGTCTTCAATTTTATTTTCACACTTGAGACATACAGAAACCGCAAGGGGTTCTTGAACGTTCGATAAGCGAATGAAACCTTGTATCCATGCAGTAGGCAGCTGTAAGAAATCGACAGTATCATTGTTAACAATAAAATTAATTTGTTGTCAGTATAGAGCTATATTGAGCTACTTAAATTGTATGTGTGTTTAAATTTGATTTACATAGTTCTTGTCCTCCAGTAGTGTGCGAATTGTGACTATGTTTCCTGGCTTTGGATGGGACAGCAGGACGGATGTGTTTCTATACGCCTTGGTTGAAACGAGGTGTGCCACTTCAGATTGGTTTTGTAGATACCTATTTATTTGATAAAAAAAAAAAGTTATGACGGAGTTGTGTACATTTTGGGAAAAAAAAAGGTTAGAACAACTGATTACAACGTTATGTTTCTGTGTACCATTGTTTTAGACTGTTTGCTTCAGCTGTTGGTGGATTAATGAGCACAGCGCTGTGGGATCTTGTTGACAATGATATGCCTATGGAAAATATGCCATGAACTTTACTATTAACAATAATTTTTTTTTTTATGCCACGTTGTAGTAAGAGGTCAGGTACATAGAACACTTACCGTTTAATGTTGTCACCTTAACTCTCATGGCAATTATGACATTCGCTTGATCTATGTTGTTTGCTAGTTGGTTTCCCTCCCTTTGAGCAAATTTATTCCAAAGGGTGAGTAGTATTGGTATTCTCCTGCACAGAAAATTATGTCAAAGAATTGAACCTTCATAGGTGACATTGCAAATAAAATAAGTTAGCAATGGAGATGGAATACATACTCATTATTAACCAGTATAATGTCCCTAGCAAACAAAGTTGGTCCAATTTGCTTGGCTGGAAAAGCATGCGCAACTACTGCGAAAATATCTGGCAAATGAACGATGAATGTCACCCATGAAAAAAAAATGGCCTAATGAGAGATTCTACTGTGAGTTGCGAGCTAAAAAATGAACAAAAGATTTAACATATTTATGGTTGCCAGCAAGCAGCTAGCCATGACACCTACTGTGGCAAACTTTAGTGTCAGCAAAAGTGTGAAGATCAATGAAGTCTCGTGCTTCAATATTGACAGTCAAGTGTGCAGGCACGATTGGTTCAGATGGTTGTATAATTTTTTTGGGGGTAATTATCCATGTAAACCCATATTCATTTACAGAATTCCTTTGGACTTCTTTAGTTAAGATCGCCCCGGAGATATAAAACCATTTGAAGGAATCAATAACATTGCACATGCTTGTACATCACTGTTGTATGCAACTGCTGAGACCTGTGTTCCCTATACAAAAAAATGAAAGAAAAAAAATAGGAATTTATATGTAACCAAAATGGATATTTGTGAAAAAAAAAAAACAAAACAAAACAGATACCTCAGAATTAACTAAGAGAAATTCTTGCCAAGTGTTTGATGGGTCTCTTTCACTGACCATTATGTGTCTCTGTTCTAGCACTTGAACCAATGTTATCCATCGGTTGACATGCGGCTTCACAGTCTGGACCAACATTTTGCTGTTCATTTTCACCTGTTTGGTATTGAAAAATTATAAACAGGTACAAATATTTAAACGTGCAGTTTATTAAAATATTATTGTTATTTGTTCAATTGTTTACTTGTTGGCAATATTGCAGACTGTAAGACTTCTGTGTAAAATATATTTCTTGTCCAATCTAGGCGTTCTGCTTCGTTAAATTGTGGTTTGATCAGAAGTGTAACAGCATCAGCTGTTCTAGCTCGAGATAATGCAACATAAAGTTGCCCGTGCGAGAAAACAGGTTCTCGTAGGTAAATTCCAACTCGATCTAATGTTTGGCCTTGTGCTTTATTTATTGTCATTGCAAAACATAAGCGAATTGGAAACTGAGTACGTGTGTATGGAACAGGATATTGTTCTTCGCTTGGTGGTTCTAAAGGAATTCGATGCACAAACACATTTTTTCCTACAAAATCGCCTACTGATATTTCTGCTTGAATAACATTCCTGCTCAATTTCTTGCAAATTAATCTTGTCCCATTGCAAAGACCTTCAGTGGGATCTAAGTTACGTAGCAGTATTATTGGTGCATTAATCTTTAGTTGCAGCTTGTGAGGAGGCAATCCACTTGGTGTAAGTGAGTTTATCAAATCCTCAAACTCACCCTCGTGTACAGGACTCTTAACTTTATCAAAACTAAGATATTCAGTAACATCACCAGGGAATTGCATGATCAGTTTATTGTTGACTTCATCAACAAAACTGTTTTTTGTTGTCAGAATCGCATTGTTTTCTGATGTATTAAATGATCCGTTTGATGTGATATTTGGAAAGATAGATGTTATTAGTCTTTCTAATGCGTCATCATCCATAGGATTTGGCAACGTGAGAGCTGTTGGTATTTTTATTAAATTATCATCTATTGATTGTTCTTCTCCATTACCAATCCGCATTAGGTAATCAGTGTAAAAGGAATCCAAACGGGCTCGCATATTCTCTACCAACTGAAGTTTTTCTAGAAGAGGCCAAATGGACGAGCTTATGATGCATGCATCTATAATGTCTTTTCTTCTTCCTTCACGAACAACAGGTAGGACTTGTCTAAAATCTCCACCAAAAACTATGATCTTACCACCAAAAAGGTTTGCAGAATTACATAAATCCTTTAAAAGATCATGCAGTGCCTCGATAGATGATCTTTTGGCCATAGGCGCTTCATCCCAAATAATCAATTTGCTTTCACGAATTAGTGAGGCGAGGGCACTTTGTTTACTTATTTTGCATAATTTAAACTCTGAGGTATCAATGGGTATTTTAAATCTTGAATGAGCTGTGCGTCCGCCAGGTAAAATGGACGCTGCAATTCCAGAAGTTGCATTTGCCAGTGCTACGCCACCCTTTGAACGGACCTCTGCAAGTAATGCTCTGTAAAGGAAGGTTTTTCCTGTTCCACCAGGACCATCAACAAAAAAAGCACCACTTTTTCCTGCAATGACACGTTTAATGATAACATCGAATGCTTGTTTTTGCTCTTTATTGAGCAAACCAATTGTTGTCAACTCTTCCTCAGAAACAACAATATTTTTCTCAGCCACTACCTCACGTGTGCTAGATTGAAAAACAAAGTCTAAGTTAGGAGGGATTAAATTAAATGAGTGTATATTTTTCCCCATTGACTCCAGAAAACCATTTATCTGTTCTAAAACTTTATGCCTTACTTCAGTTTGCGTCATGCCTCCAATGTTTAAAAAATCTTCGGATAAAGAATGCTCGAATTTTTGCCACAGTTCTCTTGGATTATTTGGGCTTGAATAAACCAACAAATTTGCGAATAATCTCCTCATCTCATATGGCATTTTATATTGCGATGCTTCCTGCAAACAAATCTCCTCACTATTGTTATCTTTCAAGAAACCACATATTAACGCTGCCTCTCTAAAATTCTGTGCTCTTTTTCCATTGAAATGCAAAAGATCTTCAAATGATTTTGGGCAACGAACTTTGGATAAAAGAATTCTAAGGTAGTATCTTTCACCTTCACTGACGTGAACTGCCACTAATCTACCTATGGAGTCACCATTGATTCTTTTTTTCCACTGCTTTTCAGTTGCTAGCCAAACAAAGTGTTGTGGGAATTCAAGGTAAGTAAGGTTTAATGATTGAGCATATTCATCAATTCTATGGAGATAAAAAAACTCGGTTAGCATAGATTTTTGGTTTTGGGGATTTTGAACAACTCTTTGGAGTCGATCCTTTTTCCGAAACGCAATCCTTTGGTGGTTTTCCAAGTGAACCTGCAAGTGTATAACTGCTGGTTTAATCTCCCCTAGACTAAATCGAAAAATACGCCACGCAGCCTCTGGTGGTGAGATCCATCGAGCAGTTCTAAACTGCTCTATTTCATCAATTTCTTTATTTGGATTATCGGAATCTACATGGAATGCAATTCTATCATGGCCCTTGCATACGTATTTATATATATACTTCACAGATTGTATGGAAGAACACACCTCAACATTAATGTGGCAGTTGAATTTTGCTAGCAAGAATGGATTGTATGGGATGACCCAGCTATTATCTAAAGTATGCCCCCTAACTTTTACAACAACATTATTCCTCCTTCGTCTATACTTAGGGTATGCATCATTGACATGTGTGGTTTCATCACAAAATTTCTTTGGAAACATAATTTTACATGTCCCCATCTTCTTCATACAGCTATTTGAAGGGTTCATTTCTCCACAAGGACCATGTAACATGTGTTTGACTACCATACTAAAGAGATGCGGTGTCTTGACTCTATCTGGAATTTCTGCACACACAATTTTATCGTACTCCTCTACTGTATACATCTTGAATTGTGGACCTAGAATTAGCAGGAAATGTGCATGTGAAAGGCCTCTCTTTTGAAACTCAATTGTGTACGTGTACGCAACGACCTCACCGAAAATATTTTTTTTCAATCGATCATTTTTTAATTCTTCTAGTTTTGCTCTGAAAATTCTTACTACAAGGTCTGGACGATTTTGTGTCTCTTCATTCTGCAATAGAAATTGTTTTATTTCAGGCCAATTAGGGTTGCAAGTCATGGTTAAGAAAATGTCCGGCCTACCAAATTTCTGCACTAAGGTCATTGCGTCCATATATCGCCTTTTCATGTTACGTGGGCCACCAATAAAACCTGAGGGAAGATAAATACGTTGTCCCACTTGGGATGCTTCGGTTTCACCGCTAGCTAACGAGTCCTGGACACCTTGCAAGAATTCAGACCTTATTTCTATTTGTTGCAGCTTGTAGAAATCCAGCCTTTGGGACTCAATTTTTACATAAATGTCGACTATGAATTGCTGGAAAAGTCTACCAAAATTTAGTAAGTAAGACTCGTCGTTGGGACGCATTTGAAGTTTATAGGCATAGTACTGACGCATGGAAACAAATTTTTGTTCATCCTTAACACTCGTCAGTGCTACATAACAAAAAACAATATTGTCACGACACGTCAATTTTAACAACACAATTTTTAACTTGAAAGAGAAAAATCATATAGCTAACCTTGTTGCTCTCTATCAAGCAACTCATCTGCACTTGTTGCGCAGTACGGCGATACAGAAATCGCGGACACACATCTACGACTGTTTCTCCGTCGCAGTTTTGTTTCTAATTTTTCTATGCCCTGGTGCCAGCCTGGTTGGCCTAAAGGGAATATTAATGGATATTGAAGGGGATCATAACATCCATAATAATATTGGATTCCATGCGAAACTCCTCCAGAACCGAAAACCGGAATATCACGCTTACACGGCTCTTCATCTCCCTGGCCGTCAACCAATAGTGCAGCTACCTCTGATTCACTTGGTAAATTATAAACTCGTTGGTCTAAACCAGAAACAGTTTTTAAAATTATCCTACAATTGTTGAGATTATTCAAACCTTTGAGATTTTTGAAAAACTTAGCATATGGATTATCATGAAGGACCTGCATTGTCTTTATAGTTATTGATTCAGTTAGCCTTGGACAGGCTTGCATTCTATTCGCCAACTCGTGGTCTGTGTCATGAAAGTATAATTGTAAGTTTTGTGCAGACTCTAATGGTGGGATAAAATGATACATTTGTCCTTGAATTCTGAAGGTATAAATGCCTTTGTTTCTTTTGCTCAGCTCTTGATCATATTTAACGCCTAGTGAGGTGAATGCAAATTGGTTATTTATTGTACGTATGCAAGTTCTGAATAGTTTTTCATCCTCTGTGGAAGAGAACAAGAGCTCTGCCATGATTGGATGAATTTTATGCTGAACAAGGCTAACAGAACCTTCAGAACAACAAAAGTTTGTTGTTTCGCCTTGGATTTTCATGGCATAACAATAACCGCAATTACGCTTTGTACGTAGTTTTGATGGTTGGGATGGTATTATTTTTAGTAGCCTACGACCATCCATTGAAGCATTTCCTATAAGAAAGGGTGTTAAGATATTAGGCTGATTATTGATTTATTTTCTGAACACTAAGGTGTTAAGCAGTTGTGCACATTTTATGTACAGAACAACTACCTGAATGTTGACGAACAGGCGGCACATTATTTTGTTTTGGTCCTGTGGTGTTTAACATGGAACAAACATAATATACATTAGTATAATGCAGGATCCTGGATGCATGAAGAATTTAATTGCGAACCACGATGGGTGCACCTGGGTGTTTTGATGAGCTTGCCTCACATGATGGGTAGGTTCTGGGGAGTGATTGGGTAAAAAGGTGTCCGTGAGAGATAGAATCAGCATATGGCTGTTTGCTCCTATAATCTGAAACAAAACTAACAGACCTAACATTATTCAGACGTGTACGAGTAGTCGGTCCATGAGAAGAGGATGAGTTTGGCTGACATGGTTGTTGAGATCTCGTCGTTGATTGGGTAAAATGTTTTACTCGAGAGGTAGTCTCAACATATGGTTTCTTTGCCCTAGAATCTGAACTGGAAGTAACATGGGCAACATTATTTAGGCGGCTATGATTAACAGATGTATCCAAAGAGGATGGACTTGCGTCACGAGATCTGAGCGTTGCTGTAACAGATTCGGGTTGTAAGATAGACTCAATATTTTGTTGTTGTAGCCTAGAATGTGAAAGGAAATTAATAGGGGAAAGATTATTGACGCGCCCATGACGGTCAGTTTCATGTAAAGGAGATGTTGTTTCCTCACATGAGCAATCACCTAACAACTTTGATTCTGCCTGAGAGGCACCTTCAACATATGTCTGTTTTCCCCTAGGCTCGGTAGAAAAATTAATAGCGATAGTATTATTGAGGTGGGCATGACTAACCGGTACATCTAAACGACCAGAATTACGTAAGGAATTAGAGTGCAGATCATGATCTCTTATGCTTTGTTTTCTTTTCTTGGCTCTCCATCTACTAAGAGCCTCTTCTCTGTGCCTCTTCTTTGAAAAAGAAGATCTAGAAAGATGGTTACGAAGAATATCATCTGGACATGTGGCGATTTTCTTTGACTTTCTCATATGTCTTTAACAGTACCAATATATGTTGGATCTTTGAAGTTGATGAGAATTGCTTTATTTAGTTTGAACAAAAGTAATACTGTAATTGAATATCAAAGACAACAAACAAGCAAAAAAACGCCCGAAAAAAAAAATACGTGGGCATAACAGTGAGCACAACGTGTAAAATTAGCATAACAGACCTGTGAAAAAACAATAAATTAATAAATGACTTAAACAACCAGAGAAGCAGAAAGAAATGAAACTACTCCAGAGCATTGATTGAAAAGAAACGAACGTGCAATAAATAGGAAAAAAAAAAGAACACAGAACATGAACAAAACAACACTTCAGATACCCACAAATGTCCCAGGCAAGCAATATTTGAAAATGAACGGGTCAGTAAAAGTGAATGAAAGAAGGTAGGATAAAAGCAAAGTTAACTGGAAATGACACAAAGCAATAAAAAAACTGAAGCCCATACCTCCAAAGATTTTTTTTTATTATGAGCAGTAAAAATAGCCAAAAATCCTAGGAAGCTAAAAAACCAAGAAATTGATATAATAATAATAATCATACTTTACCAATTGCAGTACCAACTCTTGTAGTCTAAGTGTCTAACAGTACAAAAGAAATTTTAAGCCCATACCTTGCTAGATTTTTTTTCTTCATGGTACGGCAGTTAAAAAGGGTCCCACATGAGTAGATAGAACGCAAACGGAAAGTCTGGCGAGTGTTGGAATTTTTTGAAAATTTTTCATACACAAACATGCTCAAAGTCTTATTTGCTGCTCGAAAGCTTGAAAAATATTTGGAATGTATGATCCTCGCCCATTGTTGTCCAAGCTTATTTTCTCTAGTGTTAGGGCTGAAGAAGTTGTACTTTATTTTGACGAAATCAATTTGTTCTTTTAATTTTAGTCAGATATTCTATAAAATGTGTGAAAGTGAAAATGAATGAACGTAATTAAATAGAAATACTGGAAAGAATTTATTATATATTCAATACGTTTGGCCTGATATATTAAAAAAGAGGTAAGGTGCAAACAAGGTAAAATTGAAGCTATATTTTTAATTGCATATATTGGATTATGTATAAAAGAAATAATTAACGATAAAAAAAACCTATAGCATTTAAAGATTGTACAATTTTTTTTGGTTGTAAACCAATATCAACAAATATAAATAATTGATTTCTTAGAACTTTTTTTAGGAAGAACTCATAGCATTTAGGTTGTAAAGATTGTAAAATTTTTTACTTTTTTTTTTGTACACCAGCATGAACAAGTATAAATAATTGATTTCTTTAAACTTTTTATAGGAAGAACGGCATTCTTGGACATCTATCTTAAAAAAAAATAAAAAAAAAAATACGTATGAATGTTGCGCAGACGAAAAAATTATTATGGAACACTAAAACTATCGACCTATATAAATAGTAAACTGGACAAACATGGTTTAAAATTTTATAAAATCTCAAAAAACCAGTTTTAGATTTTCAAATAACATGACTAATCGATTATCAATTCTGGTATTGAGAAAAAAAAATGATATGCTTAGTACGTGGCAATAACAATTTTAAAAGTTTTATAAAGTAGAGAAAATTTGAAAAACAAAGTCATGTAATCGATAATTAATGTAGATTACAAATAAGTAACCCCCAGGCCATAAAAAATGATGCAATACGATATTGATGTATCAACTAAAGCCATGCCGAAAACAACGGTAAACAATTTGGCATAAGCAAAACGGTAAAACTTTAAACATAAGGTAAATTGTAGCCATTAACAAAAGAGTGCACATTGCAGCATTAATACCATATGTAGGCATTAGCATAAATCTAAAAAGATTTATACTAAGGGTCCCAATACCGCGAGTTTATGGATGCAGTTCTTCCATACTAATTGGAGACTATGGCCTTAGTTCTTCGAAAACATTAGCAAAAGCATACACAAAAAGACTTGGAAGGAGTTCATGGAAGACAGTTCCACAAGCCGTACTCCCTTATAATGTTTACGAAGTACACAAAAGACTTAACAAACACATCCCATTGTACCGAAATATTCAGATTTTTGTGCGCGGTTTCTTGAGGGGGTTTTTTGCTGCTTTAAATTCCTTAGTATTGTTTGAAGTAGATGCTGTTGCATGGATGTTCTGTTGCGGGAATGAGCTTCGTATAAGTTGTGCTGTAATAGGAAAGAATTCCTGCACAAGGGGTTGGACCTGATCCTATATTGAACCACAGATTGTAAAGTATGCTATTACTGAGTTCTTCAATAACTAATGCTTATTTTTAGTAAAAAAAAGTATGTAAAGAAAAAACCTGAGCATCTACTGGACCCTGCACCACCGCATTTGCATCACCAACCATATGCTGTTGTCCTTCAATATTTGCTTCACCTTGTTCGGCAATATCTTCATTGTCATTCTCATGGTTGATTTCATTTGTCACCTCCAGCACCTTCTTCATTCATGTCATGGGGCATACCAATTTGTTGCATTAGAAGGTGTTGTTCAATGGTGTACAACTTGATAACTGAGTAGATGGGGATATCTGCCTGGAATTTACGTATGAAACAGACAACCCGTATTCCATGGATGGTAGAACTAATCTCTGCAATCAGAGTGGTTTCCTACAAAGGCGTAGGGAAATTTCAAAGGAGTTTTAATGTACAAAAGGATTCGCTCAAAAGAATTTGCTTCTGTATACAACAACCCAAAACACACTTGAAACAAAATTTTGGTTTACAATTTATATTGAAAATCCATTGTTCTAGTTTGGCATATACGCATAACATGATTTGGATAAATAGTAACAGGTTATTAGTGGGCCTTTGTAAAAAATAAACACCTTTTAAATTTGTACAATAGACCTTACCATCTTATTTGTCTCCTTCAATTGCTGGCCAGTGTAATTGATCAAACGTTCTGCATCCGATCCGAAAACAACAACTGGGATTATTCCAGTTCCATCATTTATGTCCACTGGGATTCTCACCCTGTTTGTTTTTAATTATTTTTTTCGTTTTGTAATTAGAAACACCAATGTCAGTGTTTGAGAATGCAATGAATATGTGTAAAACACATTAAAGTAAACAGTACCTTGGCTGAACCCGTCCATCCTGATTACAATAGACGCATCTACGGCGGGCGCTTAGGTTGGTTCGATTTTTTTCCCGCAATTTTGACATGCTGCAAACCAAAGGGATTGTTGTACATGACCTAAACGAATTGAGCCCTGAATCCATGCAGTTGGTATCTGTCGCGAAATGAGTGTTTTGATCAAGATCCGGAAAAATGCATCTTGTTTAGAAAAAAATATAGTAATTAATAGATTTGGTTCATCGGGGGAAATTATGCACATTGCTGATATCATCTAGCATTGCACGGATTGTGGTGATATTTGCAGGCGATGGACGTGGCAAGAGTATGGAAGTGTCTTTATACGCAGCAGAAAAAATCAAGTGCGACACCTGAAGCCTGTTCTGTAGGTACCTATTCATGAATTAAACTTCTAAAATATATTTATGTGCACAGTATCGCGAACAAATATTGACCTAAAATTGTTGAGTAAATGTACCATTGTTTAAGTGTGGCCACCTCAGATGTGGGAGCGTTAATGAGTATAGTGCTCTCTGTCCTTGTGGACAACGATATACCTGGGTAAAATACGTGAATATTTATACAATTTGACATTTTATTTAAAACAAATAAAAGTGCTACATTATTGTACTAAATAACTTACCATTTAGAGTTGTCACCTTAACCCTCATGGCAATAATGACATTTCCTTGAGCTATGCCATTGGCCAATTGTGTTCCTTCTGCTGTAGCGAATTTATTCCAAAGGGCCAATAGCATTGGCATCCTCCTACACAAAGAACACATTAAAAAGGGTATTAGAATGTTGACTTTCTAATAAAACAACACCGATCAGATAATATCTAAAACATACTCATCATTAAGCAGCACAATATCTCTCGCAACTAAATTTAAGCTAATCTGTCTTGCAGGAAAAGTGCGCACGACAACACCCAAGACATCTACAAAATAATTTACAACTGTTACTCAAGGAAGGCAATTATCTATTAAAACCAAGTATGATAATGCAGAGGAAAATTATGTAATTTTTTCTAGTTGTTTAAAATAAGTAATTGACGTCATTACTATGCAAAATATCAGAGTCAGCAAATCGGTGCAAAGCATGGAATTCTTGTATTTCAATATTGGCAGGCAGGTGGTCTGGTACAATTGCTCCCAACGGTTGTATCAGTGTACTATCAGTAATGACACATGTGAAGGTGTAATTCCCTCCAGAACCGCTTTGTTTTCTTTTTTTTAAGATAGCCTCGGGAATATGATACCATTTGAATGGAATCAATTGTACTAAAGTCGCTTGGACACTCTCCTTGCATGCCACTGCCAAGACTTTAGTTCCCTTTAGAAAAGGCGAAAGGGACNAAAACATAACCAATAATTATTGTTTTATAAAATAGTGCGCAACATATGTATAAAAAAAGGCACCTCAGAATCAACAAATACAAATCGCTGATAGATGATTGAAGGGTCAACTTCATCGCTGATAGAGGGCAGCCTTTCCACAAACTGAATTAATGCAGTCCATTGGCTCTGATGTGGCTGCACTCCCCGATTTAGCATTGTCTGATTCATTTTCCCCTGTTCTGTAAGTTTTTTTATTTTTCAAAAATAATCAGAAAGCAACAAAAAAATTACTACATGGCATTTTTTTATTTCTATTCTTCTATTTTATCGACTTGTAAGCAATAAATGTGGTTGTCTGACTTTAGCAGAAAGGATATGTTTTGGCTAGGTTATCCTATCCGCTTCAGCAAATGGCGGTCTTCTAAGAACGTTAATCTCGTTGTACCTATTTTTTTATTGAGATTTTAAAACATAAAGTTGTTCATATGAAAAGATGGTTTCTTTTAAGTAAAAACGAAGACAATCTTATAGTGAGCCCCGTCATTCATTTATTGTAACTGAAAAACATAGGCGTATAAACAACCATCATGCCAAATGTATAATAATGAATAATAAAAAAATCTAACTAAACAGAGAACATTTTCATGTTGGTATTTACTATTTAGTATAGATGAGTGGGGAATTTGATGTAGCAGTTTTAGCTCTAAAATAACATTAGCTTTCATTCTCCATGAAAAGGATAGACCAAGACAGAGCACCATACAGAAAGTTAATGGAGCATAACCCCCCTCCCCCCAAAGAGTAAATTAAATAAATATGTAACCATAATAAACATTAAAATGTTGAGAAATGGGTCTTAATTTTGTAAAAGAGCCAGTGTAAATAACAAAATAACTGAATAACTCGTAATATGCATTTTTTTAAAAAAGGATACAACACCACGTCATATTCGAGAGAACGAAGTAAAGAACACTAAACCCACCAATGAAACAGCCGAGGTGAATCTTACATGTAAAGAAAAAAACATTTGAAAGCATAATGGAAGAAAACTAACCGAATGCGAAAATGAAGAAGCCGAAGAAACAAAGTTTGATTGCGGGATGTAAATAAAAAAAAATACCTTTAAATAATATATATTTACATTTATTAAATATATATAGTGTCAACACACATGTACGTACACACATACACTGTGATCGAAAGGCAAAAGACGAAAAAAAATAAATCAGTCCATACCTGCTCCTACAGGAAAAGAACTGGCAGAGGCCACTCCTCCCACGATTTTGTGCAGCCATCCTCAGTAATACACGGCGACAATCAAGCACACAGAAGACGTGAACAACCATACCCTAAGCAACAGGTGCAAAACCCCTAGCTTAATTATTAGCGCCTTTTGCTATTGTTGAAGGGAATTTAATTTTTTTTAAAGTTTTTTGTAGCCCGTAATTAGGTTTTTTAATTAGGAAACAGATTAATACCTTTTGGGCCAATGGCAAAAAGCTGGGCCAAAATAATCTATTTATTTTATCAATTAAGTATACGGCAACACATTCGTTTTTTTGGTTCAAAATAGGTCCAGTTCAGTTTTTTCTTTATATGAAGTAATTTACTAAGTAAATGATGTGTGTGTGACTGATGTTTGTTTATTATTAAAAATTGTGTGAACCTCATTTTTTTTTATTACAGTTTTTATCATTAATAAAAGTACTTTGATAGATGGATCATATGTGAGATTTAAGTCCTCATAAAACCGAGTATATTTTGAACGAATAAAAAAATCTCAAGAACAAAGTCCTTTTTCTCAGTACCAGGTCAAATAAAAATGGTTACCTTGGAAAAATAAAAATTGCGGCCAACACCATATAAAATGGTTACCTTGGAAAAAAGCACTACCAGGTCAAACAAAGTCCTTTTTCTCAGTAATAAATGTTTTAAGTAAACCGAGCAAGACCTTCTAGGTATAAATAGGAAGCAAAAATAATTGGTGTAAAATTGTCGTGAATTTATTTGAACAATGGATATCAGTTCATAATCTAAGAAATTTAATGCAGAGATCCCAGTTTAAAATAGTAATGTAAATATATGAAGAATATTGAAGAATTCTACATTAGAAACCCAGAAGGTGCATTCCTGGAGAATAGGTAAGAAATGAAGAAAAGCACAGTGATTTGCATGCACTGTATTCCAATTCTTAAGAAAAGACAATTCCTCCTATCCCAATAGTGTATAAATGAATAAGAAAGTTGCTATTGAAGTTAGATGATAATCCAGACATTTTAAAGACATTAAAAGAAAATTGTTCGATCATCTAAATCATGTATAGGCATCAAACAACGAACTCGCAACACGAAGCATTTATTTCTCTCGGGACACTCGAATATGTATCAAACAAATGAATGCAAACACCTATTAATCCAGCTATCATCTCATTCATATCACCATTGAAACCCAATTTCCTCAATTCTTACTGACCAAACGAATCCAAAGTAAGCACAACCTGAAATTCCCAACAATGGAAATATATACTACCAGACAGATGCTGAATAGTGGACACAAACTACATACACACACACATGTACAGAGGGAGATACATCAAGTATTTACACTTTCTTATATAACCTTCTAACACCACAGCCCAATAGTAACTGCGTTCTTCCACCACCATTACAAAGTGTAAGCGTATTATTAGTCTATGCAGCACATGGGCGATAAAAAGAATTGGAGCAACCAGAATGCAACAACTTTATACATTAGAAACAGTGAAAATTCATTGCATTACAAAATAACGCACACGCGCATTCACAGCATATGTAGCCCATGAAACCTAACATCTTAGAATCCACCAAGCAAATCTAATGATATGCTTAAAGAATTCTAAGCTGAAACCAAAAGAAGGGCAGCAAAAGAAAAGTACAATGTTATACAAAATAGTTAGAAAGACTTAGATCTATTAAGAGTACTTGATAGGCTTCATAACAATTACACAATACATAAACAAAAGGGGCGATGAAAGTTCATTCCTCAGTGCGCGGCTTCTTACCAGGACTGACAGACATTTTCTTCTTCTTAGTTCTTATGTAGGCCGCGTGGACATCAGGAGCATTGTGTGTGTCTGTAGCAACCAAAGATTCTGCAGTAGTTTTAGGATTCTCAAAGAGGAGAGAACGAACGGTGGCTGACTTGGATTCTTTTGGTGTAGACATGGTTGTAGGCTCATCAAGAATAGCTTCTAGGCATGCTTTAGTTGACGGCGTAAACAATTGGGTTTCCACTTCATCCTGAAAAAAATGTTGATAAATGTGTGTTGCAGGTAGGACAAAATCTTTATTTTTCTAGGATACTTTGACAACCGAGTACGTGGGCCCAGCAGCTTGAAAGAGCCTCACAAAGCATACAACATTTTTTCCGCATATGCCAGAGCGAATCGTGGCTACCAAATCAGCACCCTGCTAGAAATTTGCTAAATTATAGATGCACTGGAACTCTTCACAATTGAATGTGCACATTGCAACACTACCACGCACGATCTCTTAATTTTTCCAAACCATGTAATTTTGTCATTATAAAAAAAAGCCATCCAACACTACAAAACAATGTGCATATTAATAAGTTGAAGTACACAAGACATGTTATTCGAACTAAACAGCCCTAGGTTATATTACTCCATGTTAACAAGGTGCTCTATGTACACGGGAAAACAAATAAATGTTCGCATAGGTAGAGGCTTGACAAATATAACATGCAACAAAAATACAACTGGCTAAAAGCGCACACATTGCTGTGAATTTTAAAGTTTCTATAGAATACTAACTGCAAATTCCATAGCTAGGAAACAAAAAGGTATAAAACACGCACAGAGAAAATAACTAAAGGCTATATTTATTTTTCTATAAAACTGGACCTTATCCTCTGCTGCCTGAAGCTGTTGTGCTGTGTAAGCAATAAGTCTTTCCGCATCCTCTCCGTACACTACAGCCGAAAGTATTCCAGTGCCATCAGCGATTTCCAAAGGGATCCTAGCTCTTGAGCACTTAAAAACCAAGAATAACCGTATAAGCTGAACAAACTATAAAGATATTACATCTTAGGGCTATACATGAACATTAAATGTTACCTAGCTTCTATCATGTTGTTTTGACTGCAAGAGCTGCACCTAATGGCTGAGCTTGTTTGCAAGTCAAATTTCTTATGGCAGCTGGAACACGCACTAAACCACAGCGACTGCTGAATATGTGGCAGAGTCACACAACCCTTAATCCATGCTGCTCGAACCTGTGGTACCCAACAATTGTTCTTCATAAGTATCGCAGAAAAGGCAATTAAAACCTAATAAACAATACATCTTATGTGTTATTCTGAGATGAAATATGAACTAACATTATTAACGCCACTAAGCATGGTGTGCACCGAGAGAACGTTGTCTGTTGATGGATAAGGAAGCAGGATAGTGGTGTCTTTGTACGCAGCCCTTCCAATCATATCATCAATTTCATTTTTGTGTTGGGAATACCTATAAAGAACCACAAGCTCATTTTGAATGTTTTAAAAAAAAAAATTATTATAAAGGTTTTTAAACTCTTAGTACCAACCATTGCTTAAGCTCATCTGCTGCAGCCATTGGAGGATTAATTAATATAGCGCTTGGAGCTCTAGTGGACAAAGAAATTACTGCAGGTAAATTTGAGAAATATTTTTAGGCACAGTAAGAAGACAACAAAAGTGTTATAGGCAAGGTACACCCTTACAAAAAGCACATTATGCATACCATTAAACGTTGTGACTTTAACTCTCAGAGCCAAAACAACATTTGCTGAGTGAATGTTATTTGTAAGTTGCGATCCTTCAGTGGTAGCAAAATCATTCCAAAGGGTGAACATGATCGGTATTTTTCTGGACAGTGGATTTAAAGAATGAATGTTGGCATAAAAAGGTTTAGCCAAAAAAAGAATTTTTCCACAATGTTTAAAGTAAAAGAAAAACATACTCCTCATTGACAAGGATTATTTCTCTAGCGACCGAGTCTTCACCAATCTGTCTGGATGAGAAAGAGTGCACGACTACACCCAACACATCTACAAAACACACCATAATTGAGCACTTATTCATGAAAAACATGGATGCATTTGTACTGAAATAACAACCGTAAATGCATACAGATAAACTAATATTGCCGAGGAAGCAGGAAGAAATCAAAAAAGCAAACGTACTCTGTAAATTATCAGAGTCAGCAAAAGAGTGGAGTTTTTTGTACTCCTGCAGGTCCACAGAGAAAACCAGTTGGGCAGGCATTTTTTCTTCACAAGGTTAGATTAAAGTGTTCATGTTGATTGTCCAAGAATAGCTATAATCACCAACCAGATATTTCTTGTCAACCTTTTTTACTGTGGCGCCTGAAACATAGCACCATTTGAATGGAACCAAAAGGGCGGCATTCGTTCTTATGTTGTTATTGTATGCGACCGCAGAAACCTTTGTTCCCTTTTAAAAAACATTGAAACATAGAAACAGAAAAAAAAATGTTATTGCATTGTTCCAAAGTACAAAATAAGACAATGAATGTGGCCGTAGAGAAAATAGCCACCTCAGCATCTACAAAAAGAAAGCGGCAGTAGGAGATGGACGAATAACTTTGGCTCACAGCGACGTGGCCCTTCTGAACCACCTGAACCAATGCTGTCCACCTCCTAACATGAGGCTGAATTTCCTTGATTGACAGCGTATCCTTCATATCAAAACTAAGGCAAAGCAAGAGTAAAATTTTTTTTCCCAGGTTAAAAAAAAAAAAATTAAGAAGGCACATTAAATTGGTATTTAGCTTTTTTTTATCCATAAGGTCGTAGAATTTGGCAGACACTACCTACGAAGGAACAACTAATTTCATTAAACAAGTAAACTATAAAGGCAAGAAGAGATATATTATTCTAAATGGGGATGTCCTCAAAAGAGACGGTTTCCAAAAGGACAAGAAACACTGAAACAAAGCAGACAGGAGCTGAATTATTTTGAAAGTTGAGGGGGTCAATTTAAACTAATTAAGTTGGAAATAAGCTGGAGTGGAGTACTCTGATGTGTAATATGGAAACACATTGTGGATGCACTTTCATTTGATTTTCCACTTGTCTGAACACTCATGTTTGGAGATAAAAAAGATATGCTGGTCATAATATTTTGAAATTATTTTTCACAATATTTCAATCAAATGCTAAATATGGATTAAATTTGAGAAACTTTTTCTGCATATAATTTTCTTACGTTTCAGCACATATAAATAAGCTGACTAAACTTTCGTAGATTCTAACATTTCATTTCGCAAAAGAAATGACAGTTGAAAACTCTTTACATAAAAAAAAAAATGTGATTTTTAACATACACTGAAGTGGTGAAATTATCATTAAAAATGTCATCACCGCTATCTGTAGAGCATCAAAAGAGAATAGTAAAAAGAAATGTAGACTAAAATGAAGGAAAAACACGATAAACTACATCATAATATATGCATAGCCTTCATTTGTCTACGCTTTTTTGTGCTTTCTAGCATAAAAAACAATAGCATGCAAGAATCATTAACACAAACATAATGGCAAAAGAGCAAACGTATGCGACATTACGGTACAGTATCACACATATTAGAAGTAAAACCACAAAAAACCCATCAGACCAAAGAGTGAACCATAAAATTACTCAAATTTACCTTACACAGATAGATAAACAACAATTCACAATCCACACTAAAATTACTCCCAAAAAAAAAGCAAAAGAAGACACCCTATAAATTAAGAAACATAAACAATAGTTCACAATCCACACTAAAAAAAAGCAAAAGAAGACACCCTATAAATGAAGGCACCTGAAATTTATTATACGTCCTTACCAGCCTGCAGCAGAAGCAACAAATTCCAACAAACAAACACCCACTAAACTGCAGACTGCAAGTAAAAAAGAAGAAAATTAAATTCTGCCACAGCATAAGGACAAAGTATCCAGAATCTGTAGGAATATGTATATATATTTTTGGGGCTAAATTACACATACAACACCACATCTTGTATTAAACTACTACAAAGAAACAAGAGAAGGATTATTGATCATATATATTGGTTCATATAAGGAACCAGCAGAAAAAATCCCGCTCTTGTAAACACAACAACTAAAAACAATAAACTGAAGAAACTAACCACCCGACATGAATATATTTTAAAAAGGCACAATGAAAAAAAGCCAAGAACGAAACAACGAACATTAGCCAAGGAACAAGCACATCAACGAAAAGTTTTACATATAGAGCCTGAGGAAGGTGAAAAGATAAGGGAAGAAAACCAACGGGAAAATGACAAAGCTCCGAAAATGAACGTGAAAATTACAGAATGTAAATATATATATATATATATATATAGATCTATTTTTATATATATTTTATTTACTATGAATGATACTATGAATGACAAACAATACATTGCATTTA